GGGCTGGGGATTCGAACCCACCACCTTAGGTGTACGTGGCTGGCGCCTTAGCCGGTTGAGCTATAGGCGCTGAGCCCCTTTTTTTGAATACATAATCATTTACTACTTGTTTGTTACAGAATATTAATTAATTAATTATATAAATTAAATATTCCATTTATTAATATAAAGTAGGGCTGTCTAATAATAACATAAGTGAATTACCTGTATAATTATAATTCTAGTGAAATTACCTCTAATAGTATATTTTCTTGTCTGGGCACCCAAGCTCAGTGGTCAGGATGCCAACCACATGCTCCAGGGCTGGTGGGTTTGAACCTGGCCTAAGCCTGCTAAACAAAAAAAGATAGCTGAGGTGGTGCCTGTGGCACAGTGGTAGGGCGCTGGCCACATACACCAAGGGTGGCTGGTTCTAACCTGGCTCCGGCCAGCTAAAACAACGATGACAACTGCAATAACAACAACAAAATAGTGGGACATTGTGGCGGGCATCTGTAGTCCTAGCTATTCTGGAGGCTGAGGCAAGAGAATTGCTTGAACCCAAGAGTTTGAGGTTGCTGTGAGCTGTGACACAATGGCACTCTACCGAGGGTGACAAAGTGAGACTCTGTCCAAAAAAAAAAAAAAAAAAACCTAAAAAAAAATAGCTGGGTGTTGTGGCAGATGCCTGTAGTCCTAGCTACTAGGGAGGCTGAGGCAAGAGAATCACTTGAGCCCAAGAGTTTGAGGTTGCTGTGAGCTATGATGGCAGGACACTGTACCAAGGGTGACAAAGTGAGACTCTGTGTCAATTAAAAAAAAGTATGCTTTCTTTAATCTAGTATATCAAAAATGGTTTTTTTTGGCTGGGGCTGGGTTTAAACCCACCACCTCTGGTATATATAGGGGCCAGCACCCTACTCCTTGACCCACAGGTGCTGCCATATCAAAAATCTTTTAAAATGTATAAATAATATAAAAATTACTAATGAGATATTTTGCTTTTTTTCCTATTCTTTTTAAATTTTTTTTTTTTTTTTTTGAGACAGAGCCTCAAGCTGTGCCCCTTGGTAGAGTGTGATGACATCACAGCTCACAGCAACCTCCAACTCCTGGGCTCAAGCGAGTCTCCTGCCTCAGCCTCCCAAGTAGCTGGGACCACAGGTGCCCGCCACAACGCCTGGCTATTTTTTGGTTGCAGCTGTCATTGTTGTTTGACGGGCCCAGGCTGGATTCGAACCCGCCACCCTAGGTGTATGTGGCTGACGCCTTAGTCACTTGAGCCACAGACGCTGAGCCATTCTTTTTTAAAATTATTTTTTCTTTGAAATCCTGGGTATATTCTGTAAAAGTATATCTCAGTATGAATTGTCCACCTATTTCAAGTGTTTCAAAGCCACACGTAACCAGTAGGTAGATAACACCTTGGACAGTGCAGATATAGAAGTTGGCCAGCTGAATTTTTTGTTGTCTGCCAAAATAGAAAAATTGACACTTCCTAAAAACTACATTGGGTTTTAGAGATGGTTATGTTACTAAATACTAAAAATCAGCATTTTTTAAACTTATTGCAGCATTTGTTTTTTTTTTTTTTTTTTGGCCGGGGCTGGGTTTGAACCCACCACCTCCAGCATTGGGGGCTAGCGCTCTACTCCGTTGAGCCACAGGCGCCACTCTATTACAGCAGTTTTGATGAGAATGCTTTGTTGAGGAGGCTTAGTATACTGTTATTTTCATTTCTAAAGGATAGGACCTTGCTGTTATAAGTGAATGGATTTAGAAAATGTGTTTGTCATAGTTTTCACTGAGATTTAAAAAATATGCTTTTGTGATTAGTAGTTTAAAATATCCATGATTTTAACATCATGCTTTTTGTCCAATACAGGAATTTTACAATGAATTGGCTCCTCTGTCAAGAATTCCTGCAAGCACCATCTCAGGATTTTTTTTTGCGATTGACTCAGTCTTCTTTATTACCTTTCTATGTTTTAGTATTAGCTATTTGTTTTATTTCTATGATGCAAGCTATTTTTAGGAGAATTAAGTAAGTACCTATGAGAACCTGTCACATTATTGACTGTATTATGAACATATATAAAATACTTAATATTCTTCCAACATTTTTGTGTTTTAGAACTCCTAATTCCATTCCCTCTTCATTGATAGGAAAAAATATCATTATAAGATAAGTTGATGAGAAAAAATGAAATTTAGTGTTACACATCTGAATAAGTAATGTCCAGATTTAATAGTCATAGATTTAATGTATAACTGATATTTAAATAATGAGTTAAAATTTTATAGACCATTCACTAATTCACTCAAATTTTTATTTAATGTGGCTTGGTGCCTGTGGCTCAAGTGGCTAAGGTACCACCCACATACACCTAAGGTGGCGGGTTCGAATCCAGCCCAGGCCTGCCAAATAAAATGACAGCTGCAACCAAAAAATAGACAGGCATTGTGGCAGGCACCTATGGTCCCAGCTACTTGGGAGGCTGAGGCAAGAGACTCGCTTAAGCCCAGGAGTTGGAGGTTGCTGTGAGCTGTGATGCTATGGCACTCGACCCAGGGGAACAGCTTGAGGCTCTGTCTCAAAAAAAAAATTTTTTTTTATTTAATGTAAGAATAATTTTTCTCTTTAACTTAAATGAAGCTAGTAATATAAGTGATTTTAAATTATAAAGTTCTGCTACTTGATTTTTTTTTCTTTTTTTGAGACAGAGTCTCACTATGTCGCCCTTGGTAGAGTGCTATGGCGTCACAACTCACAGCAACCTCCAACTCTTGAGCTTAAGCGATTCTCTTGCCTCAGCCTCCCAAGTAGCTGGGATTACAGATGTCCACCACAATGCTCAGCTATTTTTTTGTTGCAGTTGTCGTTGTTGTTTAGTGGCTTGGCCTGGTTTCAAACCTCGCGTCCTCAATGCTTGTGGCCGGTGCTATAACCGCTGTGCTATGGGCACTGAGCCTGCTACTTGATATTTTTATTATGTTTGACAGGAAGTTATAATTTCTTCATCTTGAGAATTTAAATTATTATTTAACTATATTGATTTAGCAATCACTATTTGAGTCTCAGTTGATCTTAGAAAAAGAACCTAAAAATCTTTTTTATTATCTTTCAAAATTCATATTTAGTCTTAAAAAGTCAATTGTCTTCAGGTAAAAGCCATTTTACAAAGACTTGGAGATAGGCAAGTTAGGTATCTGAATAACAATATATTTTTCAATATTAAGGGTTGCCTACCTATATTTTTTGTTATGAAGAAATTTTAAATTTCACGTATGGCCTTTAATTTTCCAAAACTATATGTTCAGTATATTAAAAAAATTATTTCTTTTCTGTAGTGGTAATTCCCCGAAAGAAACTGCTACACTTGAAGATGGACGAATTGGAGAAAGGCCGGAAATAACTTACCACGTAATTCACACTATTTTATTGGGTTCTCTTGCGATGGTTATAGAAGGGTAAGAGTATACTTTATTTGATCTGTTTATTTTTTTAAGATTGTTGTTTATAATGGTTGTAAATGGATACATTCAATAATAAATTTATAAAACTTTATTTAAAACTGAAAATATGACCACTCATGGTGGCTCATGACTGTAATCCTAGCACTCTGGGAGGCAGGCTGGGGTAGGAGTATTGCTTGAGCTTGGGAGTTTGAGACCAGCCTAAGCAAGAGCGAGATCCTCCCAAATAGAAAAATTATCTGGGCATCCTGGTGGGCGCCTATAGTCCCAGCTACTTGGGAGGCTGAGGCAGGAGAATCACTTGAGCCCAAGAGTTTGAGGTTGCTGTGAGCTATGATAATGCCATGGCACTATCATACCAGAATGACAGAGTAAGACTCTGTCTCAAAAAAAAAAAAAAAGTTTAAAAAAGTAAAAATAAAAAGAGTCATTGTGGTGGGCACCTGAAGTCCCAGCTACCGGGTAGGGTGAGGCAGAAGGATCACTTGAGCCCAGGAATTTGAAATTGGTATGAGCTAGGCTGCATCCATGGCACTCTAGCCTAGGGACAACAGTGTGAGACTGTGTCTCAAAAGGGAAAAAAACCCCCAAAACTTCAAAACATGTCCTGTGATGATCACTAGTAAAGAAAAAAGAAAAACTAAAAATCTATAAACTTTCTTTTTTCTTTTTGTTGTTTTTGAGACAGAGTTTTGCTTTGTTGCCACTCTGGCAACAAAGGTGGAGTCGAGTGGCTTCATAGCTCACAGCAACCTCAGACTCTTGGGCTCAAGTGATTCTCTCACCTCAGCCTCCGGAGTAGCTGGGGCTACAGGCGCCCACCACAACGCCCGGCTATTTTTAGAGATGGAGTTCTTACTCTAGCTCAGGCTGGCTGTGAACTCATGATCTCAGGCAATCCACCTGCCTCAGCCTCCCAGAGTGCTGGGACTTTAGGCATGAGCCACTGTGCCCAGCCTAAACTTTCTTAATCTAACTGTTATAGAGATGTTTATGGTACAATGAACTGACATTTATTTACTCATTCATTTGCTTCACCTCTATTGAATGACTCCCAAAGTCTAGGCATTGGTGCTGCTAGGTGCTAGAGACGGTGGTAGGCAAAAGTGGACACACAGTCTCTAACCTGTGATTTATTGCCTAATGGAGGTGACAGATGTTAATCATACAAAAGTAAGTGATAAGTGAAGAAGAGGTAGATAGTCCTGTGAGAAAACGTTAAAACAGAATTTGACTTGAAGAGATCATAAAGTCTCTCTAAGGAAGAGGTGTTTGAGACCTGAAGGATGAGTGGGAGTGAACTAGGTGGGTAGAAGAGGAAAATGTATTCCAGGTAGAGAGAATGGTTGTATACCCAAGGCCTGTGGTAGGAAGGATCATGGTGCATTTTTGGAAGGGTGGAAAAGGAGCGCAGTGCAGTTGAAGTCCAGTGAGCATGCAGAGGATTTGGGGAGTAGTTATTTTTTTATCGCCTATAAATGGCAAATGGACCCTTATAAAGTATGTGTGTTACCCATTTAATGTTCAATAAGGAAGAACTTTTTTTTTTTGAGACAGAGCCTCAAGCTTTCTCCCTGGGTAGAGTGCTGTGGTGTTGTCACATCACAGCTCACAGCAACCTCCAACTCCTGGGCTCAAGCGAGTCTACTGCCTCAGCCTCCTAAGTAGCTGGGACCACAGGTGCCTGCCACAACGCCTGGCTATTTTTTGGTTGCAGCCATCATTGTTGTTTGGCGGGCCCGGGCTGGATTCAAATCCGCCACCTTAGGTGTATGTGGCTGGTGCCTTAGCCGCTTGAGCCACAGGCGCCAACCCAATAAGGAAGAATTTTACGTTTTACTTGCCTGCTCATTTAATGTTCTCTTTACTTTCTTACATTTGCTAAGGCAAAATAGGTATCCACATATTAATATTCAGAATTTTCTTGTTAAACTTGGCAAGGATGGAAGTGAAATCAGGAACATATTAGTACAGGTTTATGGGGGTAATGCCATGAAGCAAACAGCAGTATACAAATGGATTAAGTATTTTTCTGAGGGGAAAGAAAGCATCACTGATGGGGAGAGGTCAGGATGGCCAGTAACAATCAGAACTGATGAAAATGGGGTGGTGCCTGTGGCTCAGTGAGTAGAGCGCCGGCCCCATCTACTGAGGGTGGAGGGTTTGAACCCTGGCTTGGCCAAACTGCAACAAAAAAATAGGTGGGTGTTGTGGTGGGCGCCTGTAGTCTCAGCTATTTGGGAGGCTGAGGCAAGAGAATCGCCTAAGCCCAAGAGCTGGAGGGTGCTGTGATGCCACGGAACTTTACCAAGGGTGGCAAAGTGAGATTCTGTTTCTAAAAAAAAAAAGAACAGATGAAAACATTGTAAAAATTCATCAAATTGTGTGTCAGAATAATTGACCAAGTAAACATTGACAGAGAAATAGTTAGGAAATTCTTTTTGTTGTTGTTGTTTTTGCAGTTTTTGGCTAGGGCTGGGTTTGAACCTGCCACCTCTGGCATATGAGGCC